GTGTGATATTGGGTCTTCAGTGAATGAGCAATATATTGTCCCACGGACTGCAACATTTGGATGGATGGTTGGTCTCACTATTCTAAGATGTAGATCATCTATTGTAGGGACATGTTCCCTGATTGGTCGGTTACGATCATCCATATTGAAATAATATTGTTGTTAGCTCCAATGATGTGCGGCATTTCTCCTTTATACTGTAGCGGTGGTAAAACATCGTATGGTTGGTCACCTATTTGAATTCAATTTCGATTAGCTTCTCATCGATGACGTCTAAAAGTTCTCTCAATCTCATAATCAAATGGTACTAAGTCGTCACTATCAGACATGCAATAGAAAAGTACCCACAAAAAGAAAAGAAAAGAGTTAGTAAAATAAAACAAAACTCAAAATTAAATAGTTTTTACACGGCAATGGTGCCAAAAACTTGATGCTCTAGAAAATGCTATAGCATAGTTCAAGCATACACTATCGTATCAAAGTAATAAAACGAAAATCCTTGAAGGATTTTAGACGTCGAAACCATAGAGAGCAGAAAGTTACAATTGAGTTAAGGAAACAGGTATTGATTAAATTGGCATGTAAATAAGAAAAGTAATAAAAGAGGAAATATAATGAAATAAAGGCAAGGTCATTATACAACACTGTATTCAGCACGGAGTCATAAATCAAATGGAATGGGATGATAAAAGGGAATTCTAGTTCAATTTATGCAATCAAATCAACTACAATCTAATTAGCATTAATCACTAATAACAAATTAATATGAATTAACTCTCACTAAGACAAATAATCACACAATAATAATGTTAAACATTTGGAAGTATACATCTCAACATGCATTTGCTTCTCACAATTCCAAGCCATGAAATTAGTATGCAAATCATTCAATTTATCTCTAAATAAATAACAACATACATTAAACAATGAAATCTCCTTCACCATTCATAAAGCATAAGCCACAAAGTAGTAGATTAAACAACATTTATATAAACAAGGGTTCCACCTAAATAGATAAGTTTAGAACATTCAACATCCACAAGTATATGAAGAAAAAAAAACAACTATCTAAACTTATCTCAGGTAAAGTCCAAGTACCTAAAGTGATCTTGTTGACTGCCGATGCTATTCGACGAAGAATAACTCCCAAAGCTATAGTATTCCCCCAGATTAGTGGCTTAGATAGCCATGGAAAAGAGATGAGAGATTTTGTGTGAAAGATGATGGAATGAAGAATTGATGATTAAATGAGCTGAGGGAGGTCCTATTTATAGGTAGAGGAGGTCAAAATTGTCTCCAATGAAGATTGTCCACGTAATAGCAGCTGGTTGAAGAGTATACAGCTGTCGTTGATTCAAACGGTTTTACCCAGCCTAGTGAGTCATTAGTTTCTGTAGCATTTGCTTCTTCACTACAACATCTGCACTTTTTTCAGAAGAAAAATCAGAAATTAGCCCATGTTAACCAAACTTTAAATAGTGCAAAAATATATAAAAATAAGACTAAACTAAACCAAAAATTCTTTTAAATATACTTAATTTGAAGCTAAACCTAGGTATAAAGTGCTAAATTGATAAATCTTTTGGAGAGTTATCAGGAACCATTGGGTAAAGTCACAGGAGTCATAGATGAATGAGACTGAAAGTGAGAAAGAAGACGTGGGTTACCTGTCTTGTGATCTGTAGCACCAGAATCAATGACCCATTTTGATGAGGTGGAAACAAGGCATGTATTTGGTTTACCTGACTCAAAAAGGGCAGAAACAGGAGTAGAAGGTTGATTCATAGTTTCTTGAAGGTGAAAAAACTTGGCATACTCATCCGTAGATATTGTAACAACCAGTGAAGAAGTTTCTACACTAGATGCAACATAAGAAAATTGAGATTTCTTAGATTGTAACTTCCGACAATCACGTTTGAGATGTCTGAACTTATGACAATAGTGACGCACAACTTCACCATGCTCGCATCCACGACCTCCAAACTACTGATCAGGTTTATTGGATCCTAATCTCATATTTCTATTAGGTGCACCACTTTTGTACTATTGTTTTCTAGAGTTGGAAGAGGTAACACTACTAAGGAGAACACTGGAGGGCTGAAAAGACAGGACAGGTAAAGAAGTTTCAGCATGATGAACTCGCCGAAAAACATCATCAAGACTGGAAACTTCTAGAGTATAAAGGATTTGTGACTTGGCAATCTCATATTCTGGTGAAGCACCAGCAAGAAAACTCATAACAACCATTTTTTCTCTTTGAATTCATTGGACCTCTATATCGGCACTGAAAGGAAGCAACATATTAAATTCTTCGTATGTCTTCTTGAAGTCCATAAAATAACTTTTCAGATTCTGATATTCTTTTTCATTCCTATAAAAACTCTGACAGACATCATAGACACGAGAAAGATTTTCTTTACCATAATATAAAAATTATAAAAAATTCATCAATTGTTTCACCATCTTGCAATGACTAACCATACCTACCACCTCACTATCAATAGAGTTATGTATATGGATATACAAGTGAGCATCTTCTATCATCCAAGGAAGTTTAGAATCATCCATAGGAGGATCTTCAGTCAAGTGACTATCCATAGAATGACTGAGCAAATACAACTCAATCATATGATTCAATTCGAGAAAATTAAAATCATTTAACTTATGGTTAATAATTTTAGAAGTACCCGGGACTATATCAGACATAAATTCAACCTTCTTGTCACCAATAATCGCAAGTTGACAAAGAACCCACAAAAAAAACCAACAACCAAACAGTATTTCAGAAAAAGATGACACCCAACCTGAAACAAAAAATGAACCAGAGGCACGGATTGGCAGCAGGGTGCGGTCAAAAATAAGCGGAGAAAACGATAGAGGGAATCGATGGCAAAAATAGGCTATCGTACGTCGACGCGTAAAGGAGTTGTAAAATATGATAAAGACGCGTGGGGCTCACGCTCTAGGCTTCCGGTGACCAGAATTTCCAGAATGGCTGATCGACACAGACATACCTCCTAGAGCTGACGATATCAATAGATGAGTGTAAAAAATGACAAAAAAAACACTCCTTTCTCCCGATACATAAATAAACCCCAAAAAAATCAACTACTCAAATACTTTAAACCATCTGATACCATGTAGAAATAGTAGAGAAAGTAGTAGAGAAAATAATCTTATTGGTTTTATTCATCAATAGAAAAGTGCTATATATACACAAGTTGGTATATCTAAACTAGGTAACTAAATATATTACAATTAATGGAATATAGATTTTTCCTAAAAGTTAGCATAATAATATGTAACAAATACCTTAGAGTTTCTCTAGTTGCTAGGAAACTGACTCAAAAGGACTGCATTGGGTTGGTGGAGAAGTTGATGACCAAGCTAAGGCAATGGTCCATTAGATGGCTTAGATATCCTGGCAGGGTGCAGTTGATTATTGTTGTGCTTCATAGTATTGTCAATTTTTGGTGTAGGCAACTGGTAATGTCTTCTTTTGTTATTGGGATAATTGAGCAACTTTGTGCTCGGTTCTTTTGGAAAAGAGGGGATATTCCTGTTAAGGGAGCCATGATTAAGTGGGATTGTATTTGTACCCCAAAGTCTGAGGGTGGATTGGGATTAAGTAACTTGAAGAGCTATAGTAAAGTCTATGTGCTTTTGTTGATGAGAAATGTCCTTGCCCATAAAAGGTCTCTTTGGATGGTCTGGATTTATACTTATGTTTTTAAGGGTATATATTTTTGGCAGGTTGATAATAAATCCCATTTCAGTTGGATCTTAAGAAAGATACTGAGTTTGATGGGGGCATGCCTTTGTTCCTTGGCAGGTCTGGTTGGGGAAAGATAACAATAAGGTGGCTTTGAGAAGAGACCAGGGAAAGGAAGGGGAAGACTAAGTGGCAAAAGGTTGTTTGGTTTTCCATGAATATCCCTAAGCACTCTGTCATTATTTGGATGCCAGTGTTGAATAGGCTTCCTACTGCTAATCGGTTGGTTAGGATTGGGATGAATGTGGATGTAGGTTGCAAGAATTGTGATGGATTGGGGTAAGAATCTCGAGATCATGTGTTTTTTTAGTGCCCTTTCTCTAAGAAGGTGTGGAATATTGTGTTGAGGTTGTGTGGCATTTGTAAGGTGGTGAAGAACTGGAGTGAAGAGCTTAGTTGGGCTATTTCTCGGTTCAAGAGTAAATCACTCCCAATGTATGTGTTGAAAGTGGCTTAGTGTGCTTTTGCTTACCACATTTGGGAAGAAATGAACCATTGATAGTTTAGGCAGGTGAAAAGGAGTATGAGTGATGTTGTAAATATTATAAAGGGAGTTGTTTGTATTAAGGTGTATAGGAAAAACGTAAGAGGGGACACTCTAAATCAGAATTTGTGTATAGCACGGGGGTTGTGATTTTTCCCTTGATGGGATTTTGTTGTATTTGTTTTTTTAGCAGATAGATATGCTTCTTAGATAATAAGATTCTTTAATTTATCCAAAAAAATAAAATTATTTATAATTGTATATGAAAATGTAAAAGAAAATATTAAATAATATCACATCTGTGAGTGTAGAAGGAAATATTTTATATTAAAATTTTATTTATAAAAAATACTTTATAAATAATCACAGTGGAGAGATAATAATCTTTACTACTCAAATGTGTGATCGATCATTAATCATTCAATTTATTAAGTAATTATTTTTTAATTTCCATTTAAAATTATATAATAAAAATATAAAAGATAAAAAAATATTATTTTATTATTATTTTATTATCATTTAATAATATTTTTTTGATAAGTTAAAAATATTTATTTTCTAATTCGGTGAATAAATAACTATTTCGCATTTTTATTTCATTAATATAATATATTTATTTTTATTATTAACTATTATTTTTTAATTAATAAAAATATTGTTTATTTCAAAATAAAAGCATAATGAAACGGCACAGCCTAAAGCATAAAACGATCTTATAAAACCAAACCAAAACCCAATCTTTGTTTTATGACCATTATTTCAGCGGACTAAAACCTTCACAGCCATGGCCGCCCTTTCACCGCCGCAACAACATGAAGAAAAGGAACCGGTTTCACTTTCAAAGAAGAAAAGGCAAAAGAGAAAGAGAACAAAACATGACCCTGAACTGGAACGAGTCGACTCGCTCCATTGGAACTCTTCCCTTCCCAACGAAGAAGAAGATGACGCCTTCTCTCTCTTCATTGGCTCTGGGGACCTGGATGGAGGTTAGGCTATACTAAAACAGAAAGATCCCATGTTTTTCGTTTTGTTAGAATGTGTTATTCTTTAGAGCTTGGTTATTATTAGTTAGAATTATTTTGTTTGTTTTAACATTAACAAGGTAGTAATTTGGCTTAGTATTAAATGATAAATGTTTTTATCTATTTGTTACTTAACATTGGCTTTGGAGCTGAAGGGATGTCTGGGTTTATGGTGTTTTAGGTGCTGGAGCTTATTATGTGTTCAATTTAAAATTTGTTGTTTTTAAGGGATTGGACATCAAAATTGAAACTAAGTTAATCAAAGGTGTAATTTAGGATGAATTTTTGTGATTCATTTTATTGATTTCCTTGCTTTTAAAGGACACAAGGACCTAATAGAGTCTTGGGATGTGTTGGAATTTTGGTGTATAGGTATAAATTTTACAATCTTTTGCTTGTGCTGCACATCGGTCTTGTTTTCTGGAATTTCTTTGGTTATATAGAGAATTCATGGCAAAGTGCTGGTCATGTTGGTGGTTTTTATGTTTTCAATGTGAAACAATGATGTAATAAGGTTACTAAAGAGACAAAGCTGTAGCTGTCTTGTTATTCTGCTAAGGATTACGGTTGTAGGGTTCGAGCTTGTTCCTAGTTTGTAATTTTTGTTGTTTATGACGAATGCAGGCTTTCTTTCCCTTGAAGAGATTGATGAATCTGAATATGGTTTAGACGTGCCTGGAGCTAAGAAGAAAATTAATAAAAAATCAAAATCAAAGAAACAAAAACTTGAGGACCTCACTGAGGGTTCTGGTGAAGATTTTGAAGCTGACCCCACAGAAGGAATGGCAGAGGAGAAGAATGTGAAGGCCAAAAAAAAGAAAAAGAAGAGTAAGAAGAAAAAGACAAAGACTGTTCAACAAGAGGATGAGCATGCAACTGGTTAGTGCTTCAAGTATTTCGATTTTGACCCACTTATTAAACTATTTGGTGTGTTTATTTGGTAAAACTTGTTTAATTAACAGGCATTTTCTACTTCTAAGTCCCTTTTGCTTGTGTCCGCCAATATTTAGCTTAATTCAACACATGTACATCCTTTTGCTAGCCTTTTGGGCAGAATAAGTCACTGAACTACTGGTGTGCTTTAGAACAGTTTCTTACTTCAAGTTGTTAACATGCCAGTGATGATTGGACTTTTGTTGATTTCTGGGTTAATACTCGATGTAATGGAATATTTTATGATCCCAACATAATCTTATAACTGTATTTGCAGTTATTGATAGCAAAGACACTGAGGAAGAAGAGATGCCTTATGGAGATGAAGCTTACCCTGAATTTTATGAATGGAATGAATTGAGACTTCACCCTCTGCTTATGAAATCAATATCTCGAATTGGTTTCAAGGAACCTACTCCAATACAGCGAGCTTGTATTCCTGCTGCAGCTCATCAAGGAAAGGTTTGTCTAGATTCTTGTTTGAAATGCTTTATGGTCAACGATGATATCTCTTTCATGGTGATGGTAATTCTTTTATGGGATAGGATGTTATTGGTGCTGCTGAGACGGGATCTGGGAAAACACTAGCCTTTGGCCTGCCCATTTTCCAACGTCTCTTAGAAGAACGAGAAAAAGCTGCAAACATGCTTGAGGAGAAAGGGGAGGAAGCAGCAAAGTATGCTCCAAAAGGTGTTTTGCGAGCTCTTATCATTACTCCTGCTAGGGAACTTGCCCTCCAGGTATTAATAATTGTCTTATTGTTGCTTTTGTCAAGTATCTCAGTTGCCCATACTGAATGCACCAATCCTTTTTCACCGCATAGGGCTGTCTTAGTTGCCAGTAGGATTGGATAAGGATAAACAACTTTTTATTTAGTCGATTAAAGCCCAAATGCTAAAGCTTTATAAATTTGGAAATGTGGACCTTGAAGGTCTTACCCTATTTTCATAGTCCACTGCTTTTATTATGCAGAAGCCTCATATTTTTGTTTGAACTATAAAGTACACAAAGCTTAATTGTTTAATAAGCTGGATTCTATTTATAGTGGCTTCGGCACCTTAATATACTCATTTCCAGCACCTAGCTTGTTAAGCGCTTGCTGCAACTGTATTCATCAAAATGCGAAACTTAACCATGATTTGATGAAAAATCATTGTGCATTGAGAAAGACTATGATGTTATTATGTTCCTATTTTACTCAATCAAGTTGAAGTTTTAAATATTTTTTTCCCTTTCTCCAGGTTACCGATCATCTTAAGGAATTTGGCAAGGATATCAACGTTAGAGTGGTTCCTATTGTTGGTGGCTTGTCCGCAGAGAAGCAGGAAAGACTATTAAAAACAAGGCCTGAAATAATTGTTGGAACTCCAGGGAGATTATGGGAGCTTATCTCAGGGGGAGAAAAACATCTTGTTGAGGTTAGACGTGAATGATTTTCATTCAAAGCAACTGAATTTGGTTTCAAGTGATTTATTTTTAGATTTGAGTTGGTTAAATTTGAACACCATTTCACTCTCTTTTCTATTGTGCCAGTTGCATTCATTATCTTTCTTTGTATTGGATGAGGCTGATCGAATGGTTGAAGCGGGACATTTTCGTGAGTTACAGTCAATAATTGAAATGCTCCCTATGACCATTGGTGCTACCGAAGGACAATCACAAAATACAGAGAATTGTGTTACAGTTTCAAGCGTATCAAGGAAAAAGAGACAAACATTTGTGTTTTCAGCAACTTTAGCACTTTCTGCTGATTTTCGTAAGAAGCTGAAGCGTGGTCCATTAAAATCCAAGCAGTCCACAGAGGGGCTGAATTCTATAGAAATTCTATCTGAGCGAGCAGGAATGAAACCCAATGCTGCCATTGTTGATTTGACAAATGCATCAATTTTAGCAAAGAACCTTGAGGAATCTTTTATTGAGTAATTGCTTTACCTATATTTTTGTTATTATTGTTAATTATTATTTTTCTCATAGACCTACATTCCATATGATTTATTGTGATTAAAGGTCAAATATGCTAATTTGAAATGCATAATAATACATCTGCATTTATGTTATAAAAGTATCTTCTTCAAGTAGCAAAGTAATTCTTTTATCATGAATTTCCCCAGATGCAGGGAAGAAGATAAAGATGCCTATCTGTATTACATTTTGTGTATTCATGGAGAAGGGAGAACAATTGTTTTTTGTACATCAATTGCAGCTTTGCGTCACATTTCTTCAATATTGCGCATCCTTGGCATCAATGTTTCAACACTTCATGCTCAGATGCAGCAACGAGCTCGCTTGAAGGTTTCATTCCCCTGACTGCGTTTACTATTCACTTCTGTGTACTAGATTGGTCGATATCATACACGTTCTATCGACTATGGTTGGTATTAGACCCAAGTTTCTCCCATCGTTTGTGCTTGAAATTATCCCCTATCTTCGGTTCTCTGTTTGATGCAGGCCATTGACCGTTTTCGTGCAAATGGACATGGTATTCTTGTTGCCACTGATGTTGCAGCAAGGGGCCTTGATATTCCCGGTGTTCGAACTGTTGTCCACTATCAACTTCCTCATTCAGCAGAGGTATGTCAAAATTTGATGCCCATTAGCAAGTTTTCGTCAATATTCTTCTAGTCTTATATCCTAATCTTAATTATAATTTTTTGGATTTAGGTTTATGTCCATAGAAGTGGAAGAACTGCTAGAGCTTCTTCTGATGGGTGCAGCATTGCTCTTATCTCACCAAATGATTCTGCAAAGTTTGCCTCTCTTTGCAAATCATTTGCTAAGGTACCGATTTTGGAGGAAAGAGTTCCCTATTCTTCTTTAAACTAAATTGATTCTTAGGGTATAACTTTGAACAAGTGATTAATCTTCTTAGTTCTTACATTAAGTTTTGCATTTGGCAATTGGCTTACATGCCTTATGAGTGCATTGGCTTGATATGCAGGAAAGCATCAAACGATTTCCATTAGAGAGCTCATACATGCCAGAGGTCTTGAAACGTTTATCTCTAGCACGCCAAATCGACAAGATCTCACGTAAAGACTCTCAGGTATATAAATTTTAATAATTTAGCTATCTTACAAGCCACATTACAATGCGGCATGTGGGTTTTCTTGGGCTTATCCTGTATGCCTGCCCGGGTAATCTTGCTTGAAAATGGAGTATCACCCCCCCCCCCAAAGTTCTATTTGAATTTAAATTTTTTCTCTTTAAACTTCACGTTTTATTGTCGATCGTAAACTTATTTTTCTTTAGGAAAGGGCAAATAAAAGCTGGTTGGAACGTAGTGCAGAGTCTTTAGAGTTAGTTGTTGAAAATTATGACAGCGAGGAGGAAAGAGTGAAGAACTTCAAGCAAAAGAAAGCCAGCTCTGTTCACTTGAAGAAATTACAACAGGTGTTTTACATGCTATGGCCTATGAATAATCATTGTAATACTAATCAATGTAACTCAGACTTGGGTGTATATGTCGCACGTTTATTTTTAATTTTTCGAAAAATTTCCATGTATTTGGAGGGTCATATTCCCAAGCACATATATGAACATAGGTCAATTATAAGTGTCATATACGGGTACTTATGAGAAAAATTAAGTCGGAGAAACATAAATTGTACTAAACTTTGAATTCTGAATTTTCTCTCTTTTTCTGGGTACAGGAACTCAGTGGATTACTTTCACGACCACTACGTCCAAAAACATTTTCACATCGCTATCCAACTGCGGTAAGTTCTTAACAGTTTATTTTGCGTTGTTATCAGTATCCTTTGGCACCTTACTCGTTTTCGTGTTCTGCATTTTCTACACAATTTTGCGAGTAACTTTTGTATTCTACGAGTTTTGCTGTTAAAATGTACACAGTTTAGTTGGTTAAGAATAGAAAGTTTTCATAAAAGCATTTTGACAGAATTCATTTTCTCCTGAAATTGTGATTGCATTAGACAACTTATTTTGTGTTATTCTGTTTATTTTTTCCAGGCTGGTGTTACACATCTTATACAGCATCAATTTGAAGAATTGGCTAAGAAAAATGGAGATGACAACTTAGTTTCGGGTGAAACCAAGAGACGGAAGATGGTGGTTATCGGCCAAGATTGCATCGAACCACTACAGGCACTTCGGAGTGCCGGTCGCGAGGTAGTAAATTTAATGTTTTAATTTCACTTTTACTTGCCTAATTTTGTTCTTTCCCCTGAAAACCTTCTCGTTTACAAATTGGATTTATTACCGTACCAATGCGCAAATCAAGTGCCTGACATGGGAAGTTCCATCATATATAGCACCCAAAATGTTTCTCTAATGTTTGAAACCACGATAGATGCAGATTGAATCCATCTAATTACGATGATAACTGGTAGCATAGTGGCATGTCATTGGGCCCAATTTTGCATCGAGTCTTAACAACGAATTCAGTCTTAACAAAGAAGTCTCTATTTATCAGGTGCTCATGGATGGAAAAGACATGGCACAAAAACGAAGAAATGTCGAGAGTTTGAGAAGAAAAAGGAAAGAGGAGAAGAAATGTATGTGTTCATTTTCTCGATTTCTGTTTTTCGCACTCGCTTTCGAGAGAATGTTATCTTTTTTTTGTTATTTCATGTTCCAGGTTTACGTGACCAGCGTAGAAAGCAGAAGAAACTATTCGAAAGAAGACAGTGAGTAGTAGACGGCTTATCTATACCAGGTTCTCTTATTTTTTATGTCTCCAAGCTAATTTTACTCGAGCTAGGACGAGTGTTTAACACACTTACGATCAAAATTTTCTATCATATATATGTAGAATCAAGTATCCATGGGAACGTCTGTCGGATATGTCAAAGATGGGATATGTATGAAGAATTTTTACTACTAAGAAAACTCGAGGTGAATGTCGGGTTCGAGTATTTTTCCGGTGCTATTGCAATTGAATTTTTATATGCTTTTCATGTATTTGGAGAGTTGAAAATCCACATGGCAATGGCTTTCAAGATGCATCAAACATGGGTGCACACAGAATCTGAGCTTTACTTCATATTGCTGTGTATACCACCGTTGTTATTTAGTATTTTGAAAGTTGAAAATGTTTCTAGAGTTTCATTCAGACAATCAATATCAAACTATCAATATAATATAAAGGTAAATTATGTCTTTAGTACCTAAACTGTCATACCCTAATTTAGGGGCTAAAATTAAGAAATTATAAAGTATGTATTTTAATTGGTATTTTGAAAGAAATTGATGATTAAATTGTAAAATTGTAAAGTTGACATACCATTTTAAGAAGTGTAGGAAATTCAGTGACTAAACTTATTTTTTTATATGATGAATTATAAACCCCCTTCCCTAAGTTTTTGCAAAATTTCCATTTTCCTTTCCCCTCAATCTTTCTTTGAGATCTGATCTATGTACCGTTTGGCCACCGTTTGACAAATCGAAACCACCATCGTGTTCGTTGTCGGTCGATAAACAAAATTCCTCTAACCTCTCGTCGTGAATCGGTGTCGTTCGTCGTTAAATTCAATCGGAAGTATTGTCGGTTTTAATTCAATTTTTGTTGGTTTTCCTTCAATTCACGTCGATTTGGTCACCCTTTTTGACACCTCTCACACCATCGTGTTCCTTGCATCGTTCCGAGTCCTCCGTTTCTCCGTCGTCGTCGGCGCGTGGAGGGGTGAGGAAGTCAAAGTTTACGATGTTTCGGAATCGAGCTCTCTGTCGTTCAAAATTTTGAGCCGAGCTTAGTAAGTGTCTCAAAATGCATGAAAATATTTTTAGAATTTTTTCTAGAATTTTTAGGGGCTCCAGGGACGCAGCACGCACCCCCACGTGCCACCCCTACGCATGGGGGAGGTTCACAAAACAGTTGGGGCAGATTTGAACCGGTCCGACCCGGTTTGACTGGTCTGACCCGACCCGTTGACTGACCGTTGATCGCGTTGATTGTTGACCGGACCTTTGATCGGCGTTTACTGACCGTTGACTTTTTTCGGATATACCAATCCTGACATTTTTCGACGTCTTGAGTCCGTCTTTGGGGTCTGTTTCACCAAATTCGTACTTGGTAAGCTGTTTTTCACTGAGTTTTCATCCGATTCAATCCGTTTTTCAGAATTAAACTCTGTTTTTATGAAATTTCTATTGCTATGTATTTGAGGAATTATTGGAAGTTGAATTAAAGATCGAGGACATTCGAATGAAATTTATATGGTCGATCAGTATGGCACGAAAATCGAAGTAATACATTACTACATTTTTCTTCTTTATGAAACATGTTGGTATTGGTAAATGCAAGAATGAACATGTTTGGTCTCATTTGGGTATTTAATTAATTCATACACTCGATATGAATGCGGTAAAAATTCGATAACTAAATACGACTCGGATGACTAATATAAGAAATTGAGGGATTGTTAGAATAAAATTACAAGTTCTGTGATTTTGATAAAGGAATCAGCCCTGGATATGTAACTTATAATTTATGTCATCAAAGGTTAAATGTTGAAGGTACTCGGATGAGAAATTATGAGAATACTTCGGTTTGGTAAAATTACAAAAATACCCTTATGTTGTAAAATGACAAGAATTGTCCCTGAAAGTTAAGTAATAACTCTGAAAAGACATATTGATCAGATAAAACTACAGACGTGCATACGAAATGCTAGTTTTACTTAAAAGATTTGGATAACTGGTTTTTAACCCCAAGAGGATTTGTGCAAGATACTAGAAGTCTGTTAAGGAATCATTTCAAGATCAGATAATGTTCGGGAAAGCAATTAACCATAGGATATCTAAATTATAATTATTTTCGTTAAGAGTTAATTCCGAAATTATCTGGTTAAGAAATTACGAAAATGCCCTTGAGAGGTAAAAAAATAGTCCGAGTTGACCATGAACGAGAAAGTACTTTGAGGATTTGTACTTAACTCGATAAATTACAGATTTCGTTATTAAGATCATGACTTTGTATAGAAAATTCTTGGTAACCTGTTGTAACATCTGAGAAGGCACTTGACCCGAAAATCTCTGAGTTATGAATAAATACCTGAATAATAATTTATCGAGGGTGATATTTTGTCAGAATAGTTCGAAGGGACAGGCATAAATGATAAGTTTGACTTTAATAATAAGATCGGATGGAATAAATTATTATAATACAATGGATCTGTAAAATGACTAAAATACCCCGGGAATGGAAATGACCAAGAATATCACCAAACTCAGGAATGACTGGATATCCTCGAGCTATGAAATTAATGGAATAATATTGAGCACCAGAATGGCCAAAATACTCTTATGGCCTAGACTAAGTAGATGTTTTGGATTAATTAAGGAATCAAGTAAATATGGGTGTTGTACTACCCTTAAAAGTTATGGAACACAACTTAAGTGAGCTGATAAACCTTAATGATATGTCAGTACCTAAACGTTAATTATGCGTGTTCGTCTTCTCAAGTTTGGCTCGATGATAATTATGAAAATATTCAGCTCAACTCAACTTTAGATCTCATTCGGTACTAAGAAGTGGATATTCGTTAGACAAATAAACTGCGAATACCAAATTGAACTGAACGGAAATATAATATGTAACGAAAATCAGAAATGTCCGAATTACTCTGTAAAACTCTGAAGTAACCGAGATAGACTTGGCTAATAAGTGATTTGGATGAGTTTGGGAATGCTAATGAACTTACATGACGTACTGTTCTTATGAGTCATAAACTACAAATCAAGCACGTCAGCATTTTATGATATTGTGGAAGCGTGTAAATGAAATAAAGACATTAGAAGATTATTCAACGATGATTCCGAAGATGATCTATGGACAAGAATTTGTGGTATTTAAGAGTAAATAACCTAGAAGGATAATGAATTAACCAGTCGACAAGCATTAGTTCTGGGAGTTATTCATCTGGAGTTGTTCGATAATTCAATCAATCGACATAGATTGTAAACGTTCTGAATCTTCGTTTTCCCTTATCAGCTCAAATCACTCTGGGCATATCTGAAAACACAAGTAACTCATATGTAAAGGATTCTGAATACCCTTATGATTACGTTGAGCTTCCGAAAAATGTACGAATAAGATAGGATCCTGATAAATCATATTTTGAATAACTGATGATTATGTCAGTTAATGAACTCTTCCAATAGTGATTATAACTTCCGACATTCTATCGGTAAACTGAAAATCAGTGTTTCTTCGCCCAATAAAAGATTATCCAATATCTCTAAATAATATCTGGAAACTTTAGTGTGTTCCCTACTCACATGAATATTTTATCTGATTTTCGATTTGAGTTCTGTTCTGACATCTGATCTGAAATCTGTTCTAATTCCTGACCTGGATTCTGTTCTGATATTTGATCTGAATTATGTTTTGTTTTCTGATATCTCCGTTTATTGACGGAAAATGTTTTACTTGGGGGTATTGTTGAAGGGTTTATATATGCAGGTTCCTCGACTTTGTGCTCTGAGCCTTGTTGTTGTTCAGGGGTGATATATGCATGTTCCTTGGCTTTGTGCTCAGGGCCTTACTGTCGTGCAGGGGGTTTATGGTTTTGTGGAACCTATATGGTTTTTGATAAATAAAAATATGTCTTAAAAAAGATCTGTATCTTTTCACTGGTTTTGAGGGAACATACTAGATAACCTATTCTGATCTCCTGAACTCAGTCATCTGAAATATTTCTCTGAACTGAAAGCTCGATGTCAGTTACTACCTGAAATATCAGTAGGATTTCCACTCAACATAAAGATCTGTAGATGTATGAACCGATAAGGAAATATATGTTTATCTGTATCTGCATGTTCTTCAGCATCATCTGGTAGTTCTGTATAATTGAGCTTTCCAAAGCTCACTCTGTTACTCATCTTTTTAGGTTAAAGGATTTTACCAGTGCATCTATCGACAACAGTAAAGGAATTATTCTGGTGTTTCTTGCATAGTTTGATACATGTGATTATGGGGCATGTAGATTGTATTTTGTTTTATATCTGAGTCTGAAAACCCATTTTATTTCTGCATACCGATAAATCATTTTATTAGTTACATGTTTTGACAAAAGTTTTAAATTTCTGCTATTTTTACGGTGAGTCACTCCGGTGGCCCTAATGTGACATTCCAGATCAGATCGGGTTACCCGCATCGCCCTGAGGGGTTACATTTAGTGGTATCAAAGCTATGGTTGAGTTAAATTTTTCAAGATAGACCGACCGGTCGAATTTCAAAAAGATGTATGATCAGTACATGCCCTTAGACTACAATCGTACTTCTTTGAGCTGGAACTCCAAGGTTGAGTCCCTATCTGTAACGAGAAAACCTAAGTTTTTTATCCGTTAAGGCTCTACCTTTGCATAAAGGAATACCAGTAACATTTATCTAAATTCTATAAAGTACCTCACATGCCATGTGAGAGTTACTTATCTGAGAAATTCTGACCCGACTCCGGAAATGAAATTGGGATATGCTCTGCTCTATGAGCCTATTCTCGTAACCAATACTGAATTAATTCCTCCAGGAAATTTTCGTTTGGATTCTTTTATTGAAATGAGGAAAAGTTCTGATAAGAATGTATGCTCAACTGGTTAACGATTAGTGGAGGATCCGTATTTTTATAAAAGCTACTAGAAGATATGGAAGAATTGATGGAATTTTTATTTCTGCAATTCTGTGACATGAATTAATTTCGAGGACGAAATTCTTTTAAGGAGAGGAGATTGTCACACCCCAATTTAGGGGTTAAAATTAAGAAATTATAAATTATAGATTTTAATTGGTATTTTGGAATAAATTGAGGATTAAATTGTAAAATTTCAAAGTTGGCATACCATTTTAGGAAGTGCAGGAAATTTAGTGAGCAAATTCATAGTTTACCCATCTTTTATATGATGAATTATAAACCCCCTTCTCCTGTAAGTTTCTGCAGAATTGTTTTCATTTTCCTTTCCCCTCAACCCTTCTTTAAGATCCGATCTATGCACCGTCCGGCCACCGTTTGACGAACCGAAACCACCATCGTATTCGTTGTCGACCGATGAACAAAACCCCTTAAACCTCTCGTCGTGAATCGGTATCGTTCGTTGTTAATTTCAATCGAAAGT